ATGCAGCAGCACATGTTGCTGCTGAAACTTCAGCTTAGAAGCATTGGTAGCAACGCATCCCCTGCTTGCTCGCCGCAGAGCAGCAGCAGCAGCAGCTGCTGCTGCTGCTGCTGCGAGCTGTTTCCTAGCTGCAGCATTTCTCTTTCTTCTTTCGCAGCATATTCGACTCATAAAAGCCTTTGGAAGAAGAAGCAGCGGACTTAACTGCTGAATGCTGCGCAAGCGGCTCGCTACCGTCCGCAGCAGCAGCAGCAGCGGCAACGGCAGTATAGCTGTGACCGGTTTCGCTCCTTGGCTTTCTTTAAAGCCTTCTGCTGCTGCTGCTGCTGCAACAGCAAAATTGCTTCGTTCCTCCCCTTCAGACGGGCTATCACGCTGACCTGCTCCCTAGAGCGAGAGCAGCAGCAGCAGCAGCAGCGGCAGCAGCAGCAGCAAGCGCCGCAGCACGAGGAGCTGCCGGCGTAAAGAGGCGCACGGTAGCTGGGCTTAGCTCAGAGAGAGCAGGAGCAGAAGCGGTAGCCGGAGCAGCAGCAGCAGCAGCAGCAGCGTTTCGGCGATAGCAGCAGCAGCCCCAGCTAGCCTGCCACACTCGGCAGCAGCTGCTGCTGCCCCAGAAGAGTTCAGATCCCTTTGTCGAGATTAAATTGGTGCTGCAGCAGCAGCACCAGCAGCAGCAGCCACTTTTGCTGCCAGTGCCGCTGCTGCTGCTGCTGCTGCTGATTTAGCTTCGACGATGGTTTGCCTCAACTGCTGCAAAGGGGGGGCCGTCAAGGGCAAGCCTCCTTCCGAAGCAGCAGCAGCTGCAGCAAAGGAGCAGGAGCAGCAGCAGCAGCAGTACGAGGACTTCGAGGACCTTACCCCGAAGCAGTCAGCAGCAGCAGCAGCAGCAGCAGATGGGTGCCTGTCAGTGACCAAGGAAGAGTCCCCTGGGACAGCTGACGAGAACGGAGCAGCAGCAAACGCTGCAGCAGCAAATGAGGAGAGCAAGCCAGCGGAGCCACTGCAGCAGCAGCTGCAGGAGGAGCTGCCTCAGCTGCAGCAGCAGAGGCAGCAGCAGGACCAGCAGCAGCAAGAAGACGCTGGACAAGCAGCAGCGGCAGCAGCAGCAGCAGCAGCAGATGACGACAACGCGGACTTTGCTTCCGCCGTAGAGGGGCCCTCGCCTCCTCAAAACAGCTCGTCGCCAGTTGCTGCTGGGGAGCAGCGCGTGCGGCAGCTGCTGCTGCAGCAGCACCTGCAGGAGCAGCAGCAACAGAAGCAGCAGCAGCAGCAGCAGGAGGCAGCAGCTGGCTCTTCTTCGAAGGGTGCCTCTGCAGCAGCTGCGCCGCCTGCTGCTGCTGCAGCGGCAGATGGCCCGAAGAAGGCAGCAGCAG